AGCCACAGGCCACACAACACTGCTATAGCTTCAAGAATTACTTGGCGACAAGTAATATTATACTAGAAGACTAAATCAACTTAAGAAAGCGTAGCACACACAGGACTTAAGTTCTCTCACGTTCAAATGGTCAGAGTCTATAGCCGGACAATATGGACGGCTGCCTGATCAATGTAAAACTGCCTGCGACAAGTCTCAAATGGAGACTCACAGATCACTCAAGGCCACTTGAGCTACTGTTATCGTGCTGGTTGTGTTTCCTATGGTGTGACACTTTACGTGGTTCTAACCACTAGGCCACTAGTGGTGTTCCTAACCACTATGCCACACTACTCGGCAGCAAGCCGAGTTTCTAAGCCACTAGACCACTAGACACCATAGACTCTACTCAGTTTCTCACCGAGTATTCGAACCTCGGCCGCCGCCGTGGCGCGCCGAGATCCTAGCCATTGAGCTATGGGGTAGTCATCTGACCAGAATCATTCAATCAGATCTTAATGGAAAATTTCTATGTTGCACAATCACTCCATATAAGGTATTATACAATGTCAAAATAAAAATAGAACCTGACTCGACCTAAGTAGGTCACATGAGTTTTAAAAAAAAACGATATGTATATTGTCCTAGGCTTTGACAAATGATTTAGTTGCAAGATCTATTGGGGCCTACGTCTAGATCTAATTTTTTTTTCTTTTTTGAAAAAGTAATATTTGTTTGAAAAGTTTGAAGATAAACTTGAAAAACCGTAAATTTGTGTTAATAAAAAGTTTTTAAATATAACAGTAGGCCTACATGTCTTCAAAGATGCTAAGATAGCTTTATTCTATGTATTATTACCATATAATAAAGTGGTTAGAAAATTTCGTGTATATAGAATTGTATAAACTTAAGGAAAATGATGTGCACGCCTATTAAGTCATTAATGAAACATGTTGAATGATTGGTCAACTTCTTCGTGTGCTCAGTTGATCCAGGTAAACACAAACGTACCAAACGTATCAAACATGTGTCCATTTTATAATCCAATGAAATCTTTCTACCAAAAAAATGCAATATATCTACAATATCTACAATAAATTATTGCTAAATCTAGCACCCCCCCCCCCCCAATCCCGTTAAGAAGAGAACAACATGGTGTAGGATATCTTTGGCGTAGCTAGGGGAGGGCGGATGGGGCGGCATCTAAGTTGGTACACGAATACATTTTCATTTAGATAATAACGACCTAAGTTTGTATTAACGTTTAGTTAACTGTTATTATCGTATGTTCCACATTATATTTATAAAAGATTTCTAGAATAGGGAGTTGTGTATACATCTAAACTGATGTAACTAAAATTGTTAGATACTTGTAGTAATAATAAGTGTGTGTGCTTAAACACGTTAATTAAATAGTCAGATACTTGTAGTAACAATAATTGTGTCTGCTTAAACACATTCACTTGAATACATTAAAAACTAGCAAAGACAAATTTACAATACGCAATATGTTTCTAAGATCTAACACGTTAGAATCAAATTAAATTAGCTCCTTTAAGAGAATATTTATTGTTTATACTATTTTAACATTTAAAATTTAATTAAACCAGCTCCTTTAAGATAATTTTTACTGTGTATACTAGTACAACATTTTTAATGTAATTAAAACATCTCTTTTAAGAGAATATGTATTGTTTATACTAGTATAACATTTTAAATCAAATTAAACTAGCACCTTTAAGACAATATGTATTGTTATTACTAGTATAAAATTTTAGCAATTAAAAAATGACGCGCTCCTGAATGCTACTCACCACAACATATATAATACATGTGTAGGTAAAATGAAGTACACTTTTATTTAACGGGGACTCTCAGATAACTTCAAGGCTATTGCTGGTTAGACCATTTACAATGGCTGATTGATAAAAAAAATACTGCTTGTGACTCTGTTTTTCGATATACGCCATTCATGAACCGACACTGTATCATAAACATGCACATTTTAAGTGGTTGTATAATCTGCCATGTTACAATTACATTCGTTTTTAATCTAACAACTAAATCAGTGTAAGGCACAATACATGTTCATTCGATCTTTACCACTTAATTTTAGTAACGAAACAGAAAGCGTGGTCTAGCGGTAGAGTCAACTAAACATTCAAGTCCTAATACACTGGTACAAGCCTAGAACATGGTTTAAATGTAACACCTGTCCATGTTGTTTAGATGTAGTACCTCTCTCTATTATCGACATCAGGTCAGATTTTAAGATTACAGATTTAAAGATTACCCAGATATAATTATATTGTGTTTACATTGCTAATATAGAATTCACAGTTTTTGTTGGATACAAATATAATATGTTCATTCGGATTGTAGGGTTAACAAAAGGATAATGAATTAAATTATACATTTGCCTTTAGTTCACCTTAATTTAAAGTAAACGAAACGGGGTTAATTTACAGAAGTAATTGTAATAAAATGAACAAACAAAGCAAAGAAATACGTTCATTAGCCTATTTAATTGAAAAATTAAAAAAAAAAATATTATTGTTTATTAATTGAAAATAAAATGGCGTTTTAAACAGTTCGCAAATAGTATTTATTAACTTAGAAGAAACTGTTAATACAATCGGTATTAAAAACGCTTGCACAAAAAGTACGTAACTGTATTTGTTATAAGATACGATCGCTTGTTATATTCACACAATTAGACAAACCTAAATTTAAAAATAAAAACAACGGGCTCAAAAGTTTTTCAATGTTCATCAGTTCATTGATTTACAGATATAGACTTTGTGGTGTAGATTAGGTTCTATGATAGGCGACGAAAGTATTTAATGGTTTTGTAAATTAATGAAAAATCGTTTTCCGCGTGAATGAAACAATTCCTTTTTAACTGCGTACAATAATAATGGCTATTTTATAAGTGATATATTAGTATTAACTCGTCACTATAGGCAAGGGTTAATAGCTAAACTACTATGCTAACGTGTAATAACTTATAGTTAACTGTTTAATCCATCATAATAATAAACTATGTTTAAAAGTGAACTCGGGTGGGATAAAACAGCGACTGGAAAGGACGTGTTTTTGAATGGAGATCCGGTCGGCTTGAACACAGTGTACAACGAGTGGTTAGTTGTAAAAAAATCGTGTGGATGAACATCTACTCTACTTCACCTTTCGCATCATATACCGAGGTCACAAAAACAGATGAACATCTACTCTACTTCACCTATCCAATCATATACCGAGGTCACAAAAACAGATGAACATCTACTCTACTTCACCTATCCGATCATATACCGAGGTCACAAAAACAGATGAACATCTACTCTACTTCATCTATCCCATTGTATGCCGAGCTCACAAAAAAACAACAACAGGTGAACATATACTCTACTTCACCTATCCCATCAGATGCCGAGGTTACAAAAAAATATGAACATCTACTCTACTTCACCTATCCGATTATATACTGAGGTCACAAAAACAGATGAACATCTACTCTACTTCACCTATCCCATGGACCGCCAGGTTCAAGCTGGTAACTTACACAGAGAGTCGGCAAATATTTGCCGTGGTTTGGCAGTAATCGAAACCAGACAGCAGGAACATGTTCCCAGTTTTTGGTCACCTAGAACATGTTCCCAGTTTTTGGTGAAACATGTTCCCAGTTTTTGGTGAAACATGTTCCCAGTTTTTGGTGAAACATGTTCCCAGTTTTTGGTGAAATATGTTCCCAGTTTTTGGTGAAACATGTTCCCAGTTTTTGGTGAAACATGTTCCCAGTTTTTGGTGGAACATGTTCCCAGTTTTTGGTGGAACATGTTCCCAGTTTTTGGTGAAACATGTTCCCAGTTTTTGGTCACCTAGAACATGTTCCCAGTTTTTGGTGAAACATGTTCCCAGTTTTTGGTGAAACATGTTCCCAGTTTTTGGTGAAACATGTTCCCAGTTTTTGGTGAAACATGTTCCCAGTTTTTGGTGAAAAATGTTCCCAGTTTTTGGTGAAACATGTTCCCAGTTTTTGGTGAAACATGTTCCCAGTTTTTGGTGAAACATGTTCCCAGTTTTTGGTGAAACATGTTCCCAGTTTTTGGTGAAACATGTTCCCAGTTTTTGGTGAAACATGTTCCCAGTTTTTGGTGAAACATGTTCCCAGTTTTTGGTGAAACATGTTCCCAGTTTTTGGTGGAACATGTTCCCAGTTTTTGGTGAAACATGTTCCCAGTTTTTTGTCACCTACAACATGTTCGAAGACGCCCCGCCAGAAGACACCAACCACCAACATTACAACATGTCCTGATGTTGGTTTAAAATTGATCAGCAAACCACAATCTTCCAACCCACACGACTAAGTGACGTCATCGACATCGAACGAATGTAAACCCAGCGAGTAAATAATTATTAACGAATGCGCCTAATTACACAAACTTAATTAGCCTGGTGTTTTTCTTGTCATTACACGTGTAAGTAATGACGTAATTCTGTAAGCGTCGTCTTTGATCCCCCTTCTAACCGGATCCGTTCATAATTTGCTGTCAGAGCTTATCTTCAACGCGGAAGAAATTAAACTGTGCTGCCTTTAAAGTTCAATTAATTTATTTATTAATCAGCCAATCTAAATGATAGGTAAAAAAAACGTCCTTGTCTAAAACTAGGTGACGTTAATTAAACAAACTAAGCCGGAACAAAGTAACAAGATTTGTTTAATCACTGGCAAGTTTGTAGATTCTGACTTTGATCAAGTTTACAAGTAGTTGACAAGAATTGTTTAGACAAACTTACATCGCCTTAATTTTTAATTAAAAAACAAACACGTCCATTCCTTAATTACAAGAAGATAAATGGACGCAGTCTTAGTTTTTAATTAAACAACAAATACGTCCATCCCTTAATCACAAGAAGAAAATTGGACGCAGTACATGGAAGGTTTGTCCACTTGATACCACTTTTTGTTGGATTGTTTCAGTCCACTTGGTACCACTTTTTGACAGCACTGTGGCGGGAAGATGAATGACGTCAGTGATGACGTGGAGCACATGTGGACGATCGTCGTGTCCATCTGGCTCTCCAGCTCCGTGTGTCTGGTAGGTGTCGTCACTAACTATTGGAACATCCGGGTCTTCAAGAGACAAGGTATGTGGAGTCAGGCGTCGCGGAGTCAGGCACGCGGAGTCAGGCACGCGGAGTCAGGCACGCGGAGTCAGGCACGCGGAGTCAGGCACGCGGAGTCAGAAAAGTCATGTACAATTGTTGATCCTGACTTGTAGAGTTACCATATGTCAGATGTGACTTCTGGTGACTCCACAAGTCAGAAATTGATGTTGACTTAAAGTACGTCTGCCGGTGCCTAGGCTAGATACCGTTTGATCGTTTAATTAGCAACTCATTACAAGACTGTGTTCTTTTTGCTGATTACAGTGGCGTCACTAGGGTGTGCATGTTCTCACCCCCCTCGTCACGTTTTATGGGTTTGGTGGTGTAGGCAATGCTATGATGCATGTTTGACTGGGGAAATCGGTGCGCAGGATTGATGGTGCGGCCGTATATTGAACGAGTGAATGTGTGACGAGATGCGAAAGATAGTGACGTTTTAGGTTAGAGAGTTGGTTGCTATGAGTTTATGTGTGAGCAGTTGAATCCTTATCGTCGGTGTGAAAGGACGTGTGTTGTTGTAGATACGAGATTAAAAGCTTCATACACGGATTACTTGGTTCATCTTATTCCTGATCGTTTATCGTTGATCTGTCTGAATGTGATATAACTTAGCGGTTCTCAAGGTATAATAATCTCTCCCTGGTATTGGAGACGAGTGAAATGGTGGTTGGCTAAGTCAAGTAAAGCAAACCCTCTCACACTGCACAACACATAACCGTAACAGGCAATAAAATCCCTACCTACGCACAAAGGAGCAAACTTAGTATTTTTTTCAAAGTTTTGTTATTGTTATCAAAGTTTGCACAACTATTAAAGACAATGTTAACATTTTATTTCAGGGCTAACGGACAATGTTAACATTTTATTTCAGGGCTAACAGACAATGTTAACATTTTATTCCAGGGCTAACAGACAATGTTAACATTTTATTCCAGGGCTAACAGACAATGTTAACATTTTATTCCAGGGCTAACAGACAATGTTAACATTTTATTCCAGGGCTAACAGACAATGTTAACATTTTATTCCAGGGCTAACAGACAATGTTAACATTTTATTCCAGGGCTAACAGACAATGTTAACATTTTATTCCAGGGCTAACAGACAATGTTAACATTTCTCTGATGGGTTTGGCCATCGCCGACCTGACCTGTGTCGTTATATCCTTGTGGATGTCCGTCTGCGAGCTCCTCAACATCCTTGACCCCCCGACCTTGACCTTCCAGCCCGCGTCCCTCCTGATGATGACCGCCAGCATACTTCGCATCATCGCGACCCGTGTCTCCAGCTGGCTCACGGCCTTGACCCCTCTCCAGCGGTGCCTGGCCGTGACCTTGCCCTTCCAGGTCAGGCAGATGTTCACCCCGCGAAACACATCGATATCGACATTATCAGTATCGATACTGGTTCTGGCGGGGTACATGTGCGTGTACTACCTGAAAGACCTGGTCACCGTAATCGATTCCAGACACAACATCACCCGGGTGGTTATGATACCTGCGGCCCGGGACAGGGCCAACCAGATCCTCAACAACCTGCTCTTCATCAGCCTGCCTCTCGTCAACATCCTCGTCATCTCCCTCGCCACTATCCTCATGATCTCCTCCATCATGCGAGCCTCAAGATGGCGCCACACCATCACACACGGCGAGACTACACCAGCAGACGACCACCACGACACTTCCGGCACTAAGCGTCTCTCAAACAGGAAACCCCAGCCCGGGCCCCACACGGTCGAAGGAACGGATCCCAGTAAAGACAAGAAAGAAGTCCGGACCTCCAAAATGGTGATCGCCGTCATGCTCATCTTCATCGTCTGCAACCTGCCCAGCAACTTCCTGTTTGCCATGCGCAATGTGTTCCCAGAGTTCAGCGACGCCGGAAGTTTAAAAAAATATTTTCTTCATGTCGCATGGTCTGGCCTTCTTGCTGGAGAACATAAACTCGAGTGTCAATTTCTTCGCCTACTTTTTCATGAGTTCAAAGTTCAAGGCCACGTTTTTACACCTGAGGTGGTGTGACTCAGTGTCTCGTGACGTCAAGTAACTGCCTGCCTACGTCACCTGTCTACGTCACCTGTCTACGATTGTCAAGATTTCGACGTCATGGGTGTATCTTGACGTCTATCCAGTTGTCTAATGAAATGAGTTTCTTTCAGGCATATCTTGGGGGAGTAAGGGGGTTGACACCCCTCCCCTCTGTGCGATTTAGAAAAAAAATTAATTTATCTAGAAAGTATTTTACTTTAACCAGTGCCCCACCCGCTGGAAATTTAACTTTAACCCCTGAAAGTTTCTAGTGCCCCCCCCCCCCTCGGAGAATAAAATGTCTGAAAGAAACACTGCAACTGACAAACACTGACATGAAGTATGACGAATATTGAACGCAGCACGGTATACACAAACTAGTTCTGACATTACCACTGACAATAGAATAAATACTGACAATATTAATGACAATATTAATGACAATATCACTAAACTAGCACAAGCATTGACGATAGCACCGACATCAGCACAAAGACAATGCTTTTTTGTCAGTGGTGTTAACACTGACACTAACAATGAAACTGGCACTCGATTTACACTATTACTGACATTTATACCCACAATGACATTAACTACTGTAGTTTCAATTCCACTGACAGCTCAACTCAATGGATTATTTCAGAATGTCATATTTTTTTTTTTAAGCGCTGCAGATATTTCTCATGAAACAAAAGGAGTGGTTTTCTAAAATTTGTTGAATGTATTTTTGTCATTTTGAGATTTTGTCATTTTGAGTTTTAAAATTATCAGTGAAATATCATTGCAGGTATTTCGGCTATGCTTCACTCCCTTACTTAATGTCAACCAATAGCTCAGTTTCTACCCCTCCGCCCCCTCTCTTCATCATTGTTTACTGTCCGGTAATTGTTAAGCAAATATTTTTGTCAGGTTTTTCTAACATTGCTAATAAAAACATCACTTAACAAAACATTAATAAGTAAATGTTGAATAACTGACATCTTCTAACAGATTCTAAATGGTTCAACATTTATTTTTCCTTTATGATAACTTATGTGCATTCCTTATGAAAAAAATTGTTTTTAGATATTCGACAATCAACATTCTTTGAAATTGAAACAAATGTAAATAAAATAGCTTTTCAAGGATCAGCTTTTAAATTCGCTAAAAACAAGAAAATAAAACAAACTTGCTTTCTTTAATAAAAGTTTCGGTAGTTAAAATTGATAAGAGATCTCATAAGCGAACAAAGCTTTTATTAAAGAAATCAAGTTTTTTTTTTATTATTTGTCTTTGTACTCAACAAGGACCGTTACTCATGCCAATAATGTCATTGCTCTCCCCTAGAGATCGGAACGATCAATGTTGTTAAAAATAGTAACACGGGGATTTCCGCTTGGTGGAGAGAATAGAACGGATTTATCCAATTGTTGGTGTGTGATAATATTGATACAGCTGTCATGCCAGTCTGACATAGATGTCTGATGTTGTACAATATACATGGTGATGGCGTGGTTCGTTCTCGAACCGACCTTTAATATATTCTAGGTAGGCCTATACGAGTAAACTAATGTTTTGAACCAATCACGTTCAATTTGATTAAAAAAGACAATTTCATTAAGTTACTTTTTCTTACTGAAACCAACATTGAAGCGCCACAAGCTGTGACTGATTCCCTTCCATACCCCTCCCTGCTCCTCCCTACCTCTCCCTACCACTCCCTACCTCTCCCCACCCCTCCCTATCTCTCCCTACCCCTCCCTACCTCTCCCCACCCCTCCCTACCTCTCCCTACCTCTCCCTACCTCTCCCTACCTCTCCCTACCCCTCCCTACCTCTCCCTACCTCTCCCTACCCCTCCCTACCTCTCCCTACCTCTCCCTACCCCTCCCTATTTTACCCAGACCACATCAGCAGATTTCATTACCTTTAGAAATCTAGTCATAACCTTAACATCTGCCTAGCCGTACATCGAAAAATATAAACCTTAAACTTAAACGTAACCATGTCAAAAGTCTGACCAAGACCCTAACCAGTCCTAAAGGACAGACTTTACTACACTGAAACCCTAACCAGTCTGACATGACAGACTTGCCTTTTCTACACTGAAACCAATCTTACACACTCTGATGAAACCAGTTTCTATTTATAGCTGACGCTTAGTTCTTCGCAGTTAGCGGGCGAATACCGGAAAAAAAAATGAAAACAGCCAACAGGCTGTATTAACTGAGGAAATGTAGGCCAAGGTCAAGGTAACGGTAATACCCGGAAATAATTTCTGTGTCGGAAATAACTGCAGCGGTGACGTCAGTACTGCAACGTGTTGTTTTGCAGGGAAAACCCAGTCTATTTTTAGCTGACTCACTCGTATCCCCTTTCTGGAGAGATCTGCGGGCTGTGACGTCATATCACGTGACACCTCCACCTGCCACACACGGCAGACGAGAGCAGGTTTCGCGGGCTGAGCTCGACGTTGACCAGACGAATACCTTGATTTTCCGAGCTATTTTTAGAGGCTTGTTCAGTGCGAGTGATTTGGGTAGTTGGTCCGAGGTTGTGAGTTTTCCGGAAAATTCCGTTTGTCTGAGAGGTATAAAGCCAGAGCTGTGTGGGTTCCAGGATAGTTCCAGCAGCAGTCAGGTGAGTCAAGGTGTTGCTTAGTCTAATCTAACGGTAGTAGATGGATTAGTAGCTAATCTTGTAGTAGTTATTACCGTACCAGTGCTTGACCTAATTTGACGTTAGTTCACGGATTGTTAATCTAATCTAATGGTAGTAGACCGATTAGTACTTGATCTAATCTTGTAGTGGTTATGGATAAGTACTTGACCTAATCAGAAGATAGATAACACATTAGTAGTACTTGACCTAATTTTGCAGTGATTAGAGATAAGTACTGACCTAATCATGTAGCAGTTAAAGATTAGTAATTGACCTAATATCTCATTAGTTGATGAACGAGAAACACAGGCAGCCAATATTTGTAATCAGCAGCTGCACATATTATGGAATATGTAGACTGATTGTGTGATTAAGTGTTTATGTATGTGAGTATATGCGTGTATGTGTGTAAGTGTATGTTACCACAGCATTACCTGTCGTGGGTTGACTTGGGGGCCACAGCTACCCCACCCCTCCCCCTCCACATAACTCAAGGCTTACAAAACATCTGGCCACGTATATCCGGGTAAAATCTCGAGGCCAGTGTAGGGTTGCCAGATACCTTTTCCGAAAATACTGGACACCTTTCCATCCTTCCCTTCTCAGGTATGCCGCAAAGCAGAAGAAGGGGGGGGGGGGGTAACAGAGTATTATTCATATACTTGTCCAGTATTTATATTTATTTTATCCTGGACAGTCTGCTCAAATACTGGACTGTCCAGTTCAAAACTGGACACCTGGCAACCCTACCAGTGACCACGCTTGATTTAAACCTACAGCCTATAAACATGGCACGGTTAACTTCACAATGTTTAGACAAAAAGGTCATCCTCAGCACTGCTCTGGTTGAGTGAGTTTGATTGGCATCATTGCAAGTAAACGAAGAAAAACAAAGTTTTTTGGTTATCGACATTAGGTCGTCTTGTTCTCATGAATAGATTGTTCTAGAAGTGAGAACTAGACTTGACCTGACCTAACCGCTCCTGTCGCTATACTGTAGCCCGCGCCATGTGACCCACTGGTCTAAATATAGCCGTGTGTACCGGATGTGACTCCACTTTAGACCGTGCCATCACACACATACGCGTGTCATCACACACGCGACATGCAACACAGCAATTACCTGCCCTCCCAAATGTCGCGAGGGCTGTCATTAATTCAACCCTGACATCGGAAGTCCAAACTACTTGTGTCGACTGTGTGTGTGTGCGTGTGTGTGTGAGTGTGTCACTTGATGAGTGTGTCACTGTGCTCATCAAAACTTGGGTCCCGGAAATATGTAGTCTAATGGATGAACGTTTTATATGAGTTGGTTTGTACTTTATAATACAACAAATTTATGTTTTATAACCGTTTGTACAGAATCTTTAAATTTTGTTTAATTTATAACTTACATTTTATAATTTCTCGTGGTAAGTTAAATAAATAACCATTTTTTTTGTTTTTGTCAGAAGTAATAAATAAATAATAGTTTTGTTTACTAAAGGTTAATTTTGAATTAATTAGACTTATCTTCATTACATACATCTGGCAGTTTCTTAAACACTTTGTAAGGTGAGCAGTTGAGGGTTTTGACACACAACACAGTGGTCGGCACACAACACACTGGTCGACACACAACAATGGCGGTGTGTCAGGAGAACACACCCGTGACACAGGACTGTTGTGGAGGCTTTACAGGTAAGTGTCAGTTACCTGTTGGGTTGTACAGGTAAGTGTCATTTACACACAGCGTTACGGTCCAGTAACTCTCATACTCTGTCATGATCTGATGTTCCATCTTCTGTGTTAATTAAGTCGTTTAGTTATCGTATCCCAACCTATACCGTCTACAACCTATACAACTTATACCCTCTACAACCTATACAACCTATACCGTCTACAACCTATACAACCTATACCGTCTACAACCTATACCCTCTACAACCTATACAACCTATACAACCTATACCGTCTACAACCTATACCCTCTACAACCTATACAACCTATACAACCTATACCGTCTACAACCTATACCCTCTACAACCTATACAACCTATACCCTCTACAACCTATACCCTCTACAACCTATACCCTCTACAACCTATACCCTCTACAACCTATACCCTCTACAACCTATATCCTCTACAACCTATACCCTCTACAACCTATACCCTCTACAACCTATACCCTCTACAACCTATACCCTCTACAACCTATACCATCTACAACCTATACAACCTATACCCTCTACAACCTATACCCTCTACAACCTATACCACCTACAACCTATACCACTTACAACCTATACCCTCTACAACCTATACCACCTACAACCTATACCCTCTACAACCTATACCACCTACAACCTATACCCTCTACAACCTATACCCTCTTCAACCTATACCATCTACAACCTATACAACCTATACCCTCTACAACCTATACCCTCTACAACCTATACCACCTACAACCTATATACTCTACAACCTATACCACCTACAACCTATACCACCTACAACCTAAACCCTCTACAACCTATACCCTCTACAACCTATACGCTCTACAACCTATACCCTCTACAAGATATACCCTCTACAACCTAAACCCTCTACAACCTATACCCTCTACAACCTAAACCCTCTACAACCTATACCCTCTACAACCTATACCCTCTACAACCTATACCCTCTACAACCTATACCATCTACAACCTATACCCTCTACAACCTATACCCTCTACAACCTATACCCTCTACAACCTATACAACCTATACCCTCTACAAACCTATACCACCTACAACCTATACCGCCTACAACCTATACCCTCTACAACCTATACCCTCTACAACCTAAACCCTCTACAACCTATACCCTCTACAACCTATATCACCTACAACCTATACCCTCTACAACCTATACCCTCTACAACCTATACCCTCTACAACCTATACCCTCTACAACCTATACCCTCTACAACCTATACCCTCTACAACCTATACCCTCTACAACCTAAACCCTCTACAACCTATACCCTCTACAACCTAAACCCTCTACAACCTATACCCTCTACAACCTATACCCTCTACAACCTATACCCTCTACAACCTATACCCTCTACAACCTATACCCTCTACAACCTATACCCTCTACAACCTATACAACCTATACCCTCTACAACCTATACCACCTACAACCTATACCGCCTACAACCTATACCCTCTACAACCTATACCCTCTACAACCTATACCCTCTACAACCTATACCCTCTACAACCTATACCCTCTACAACCTATACCCTCTACAACCTATACCCTCTACAACCTATACCCTCTACAACCTATACCCTCTACAACCTATACCCTCTACAACCTATACCCTCTACAACCTATACCCTCTACAACCTATACCCTCTACAACCTATACCCTCTACAACCTATACCCTCTACAACCTATACCCTCTACAACCTATACCCTCTACAACCTATACAACCTATACCCTCTACAACCTATACCACCTACAACCTATACCGCCTACAACCTATACCCTCTACAACCTATACACTCTACAACCTATACACTCTACAACCTATACCCTCTACAACCTATACACTGTACAACCTATACCCTCTACAACCTATACCCTCTACAACCTATACCCTCTACAACCTATACCCTCTACAACCTATACCCTCTACAACCTATACCCTCTACAACCTATACCCTCTACAACCTATACCCTCTACAACCTATACCCTCTACAACCTATACCCTGTACAACCTATACCCTCTACAACCTATACCCTCTACAACCTATACCCTCTACAACCTATACCCTCTACAACCTATACCACCTACAACCTATATACTCTACAACCTATACCACCTACAACCTATACCACCTACAACCTATACCCTCTACAACCTATACCACCTACAACCTATACCCTCTACAACCTATACCACCTACAACCTATACCCTCTACAACCTATACCCTCTTCAACCTATACCATCTACAACCTATACAACCTATACCCTCTACAACCTATACCCTCTACAACATATACCACCTACAACCTATATACTCTACAATCTATACCCTCTACAACCTATATCACCTACAACCTATACCCTCTACAACCTATACGCTCTACAACCTATACCCTCTACAACCTATACCACCTACAACCTATACCACCTACAACCTATACCCTCTACAACCTATACAACCTATACAATCTATACCGCCTACAACCTATACAACCTATACAACCTATACCCTCTACAACCTATACAACCTATACAACCTATACCGCCTACAACCTATATACTCTCCAACACCCAGACAATTTATTCCCCAGAATTTAAACGCAGCACGTCGGGTTCTGTGAAAAAAATTAAAGAATTCCTCGCTGTAGACACGGTAAGTGGGTGTTGTGATGGGCTACAGGACATTACCCCCTGGATATTCCCCCCCCGGACTTTTCCCCCCGTATTTACCCCCCCCCCCCGGAGCAATTCCCCCCTGTCAATTACCCCCCTGTCAATTACCCCCCCCCCCCCCGGGGGAATTACCCCCCCCCCCCCCCCCTCTCAAGTTAAAATCCTAACTCTAACTAGAATTTTATACCTATATACTACTTTAATCCAAACCTTAAGAAAAAGACCAAAACCTAAGCATCCACCTTAGCCTAAAACTTTACACAAAACCAAAGCTAGACACAACCCTAACCCTAAAACTAGCTCTAACCCTAACACTAGCCCTAGCCCTAGCCCTAGCCCTAGCCCTAACCCTAACCCTGTCCGGGGGGGGGGGGGGTAATGTCCTACTGGGCGGGGGTAATTGACATAATTGACAGGGGGGAAATGCCGTGTTCCCGTTGTGATGGTAAATTAGGTGGTTACCCGTAGGTGGTTAGTTATAGGAGGTTAGCTGTAGGTGATTAACTTTATATGATTAGCTGTATGTGTTTGACGAATTAAATAGGTTTTTCGACCCACACGGAGCATAGAAGATGAAGTTGCGAAACATCAAGTTTTGTAATATCAAATTTTGAAACATCAAGTTTTGAACTATCATAGTTTCAAACATCAAGTTTTGAGCTATCAAATTTTGAAACATCAAGTTTTAAAACATAAAATATTAAAACAACAAGTTTTGTCGGCGGATTAAAGTTCTAGCATCTGACGAATGTTGGATTGTACTAGGCTTTATTCTTTAGCTACACAGAGTAACCACATACTGTAGCCACATTATATAGCCACGCAGTGTAGGCACGTAGTATAGCCACACAGTGTAGGCACATGCTGTAGCCACATTATGTAGGCACATAGTGTAGGCAAATTGTTTAGCCACATAGGCTGGCCACATAGGGTAGCCACATAGTGTAGCAACATAGTTTCATTATGTGTATGTCTGTGTGTCTAGACTGTATGTTTACCATATTATTATGTACTAAAATGTCCAGCCACAATCACATGACAAATCCCTAAATCTCTAATCCCTCTGACGTCACAGATTCCTTCGAGACGGAGGTCAGCTTTGAGGGTGAATCAGGTTTTCAAGCGCGCTTCTCCCACTGCAAGAAACACCCGGGGCACGGCGACTTCATCCGTGTGGACAACCTTGACATTGAGCACCTGCCAGAGAACTTCCGGGACAAGGACGTGCTGACCCTCATCCGGGCACTGGCGGCTATCACGGTCAGGGTGGAGACGGACTTCGTGAGCCCGGGCAGACCCCGCTTCTACCAAGACACGGACATTCCGTATCCGTTCCACAACGCGATAGGTGACCGGATGTTGCGGACCGGAAGTGGGCGTGTCCGGTACGTGACGGTTCCGGTCAACAAGAAGGACCAGCCCTGCCCATGTCACGTGTGCAAGACTTCCGGTAAACCGAAGCGCATGTGGTGTAAAGTGGGCGTGGTCACAGCCACCCACGTGGTGTATGACGAGGAGGAGGCGAGGCACACCACGTGCCGAGTCGGCTTCAACAGCGACACCAGCCCCGCCGTGACCTTCGAGGGCATGGGGGTCAGCGCCCACGGTGCTCACGTGGACGGCGACAGGTTTAACCTGTGCTGCGTCACGCACGACCTTGACCTGGCCAGGAAACTGTGGCTAGGTACAAGCAGCACTGCCTGAAGATCAGCAAGAAGATAGACTCTGTTAACCATGACAACAGACTGGCCATCGTCGTGTCCCACCCACACGGCTGCGCCAAGAAAGTGACCATCGGCCGGTGGACGGAGAAGTTCCAGATTGCCGGCACCGGCTACACGGTGTACCACTACACGGCATGCACGTGCCCCGGTACCAGCGGCGCGCCGGTCTACATCCTCGACCGGCGGACGTTCGGCTGGTGCAACCACCCGCACAGCGCCGCCAGGGTCAACTGCAGCGGGGTGGGGTACGCCTAGGGGTACCAGACCCCCGCCCCATCTTCTCACAGAACCTCCTCCCCCCACACACACTCGTTGCAACCCTCTCAATCACATAGCTACAACCCTGCTGTCCTTTAAACCACATAGCTACACCCCTCACTAGCACATAGCTACAACTCTGCAACCCTATCAACCACACAACTACACCCCTACAACCCAACCCTCTCAACACATAGCTACACCCCAGCCACTCGTAGTTTGTGCCACAGTAAAACACCATTTTTTAAAACGCTTGTCTAGTAAGACCAGAGCCATTTTGTTTTATTACAGTTTTATTACAATACTTGTAGCCCTATTTGTAATTAATGTAATTATTTGCAATGATTTTTTATGTCGCTTGTATTTATTTGGATCATACAAGAACACAATCATGACTTTTTATAAATTCAAAGTAGAAAAAGTACCACTTCCGGTTATCGGAAATCGCTCAAAAGTTGATCAGGATCTACAAGTTTGATAAAATACTTATATATGAAATTTCATCAACCTAGCTGTAACGGTACTCAAGTTATCGTGTTTACACACAGACACACGCACAGACACACACATACGGACAAGATTGCAAAATTATGTTTTTCCGTATCAGTGAGGTGTAAAACGTCGAGATTTGTAAAAATCTCGATTTTCTTTTTGCACGATTACAAGACTTTCTCTATACTTCGTATATACGAGAAAATAAAAACGCAAACACTAACGCAATTATCAAAGCAAATCAAAAACACAAAAGCAAACACAAACTGAAACATAAACACAAACACAACCCAAACTCAAATGCAAACACAAACGCAAACGCAAACCTAAACGCAAAAAAATGACGCAGAACATAAACCTTAATTTTAATGCAAACATAAACTCATTGTGTTCACAGAATAGTCCGTAAGCGACTATGATACCCCATCTTATCCATAGTCTTTAGAACTCTCTAAACTGAACGTAGGCGCCATAGCGCTCACGGTTAGATCCCCCGTGAAAAAAATAGGAACCCGCTGCGCGCCGGAGGATGCTCGGATTCTATTTTGTTAAGGACTGTAGTAACCCTTCTTATCCATAGTCTATCAAACTCACTAAACCGAACGCATGTGCCGTAGCGCTGAAGGTACGGCCCGGGGCGCCAATTAGCCCATGTTGGGGCGCCGGAGGACGCCCGGATTCGATTTTGTTAAAGACTATAGTAACTTCTCTTATCAATAGTCTATTGCACACACACATACAAACATACACACACACTCACTTACACATATACGTACACACACACACACACACAGACATACGGACAAAATTGCTAAACTATGTTTTTCCGACTCAGGTAGGTGTAAAACGTCCATATTTGTGAAAATCACGATTTCGATTTTTTGCCTCTCTCTATCTCTCATCAGACCACGTTATCCCACCTACATTTATTAAAGCAGTTAAGCGAAGACAAAAAAAATTAATATTGGTATTAATTAGCAGTGGTCCTAATTTGAGTGTTGGTTAAATTATTACACCATTTCTGTAAAGGGTACGATTTTAGGAATATATTTTTCCTAAGCGAATAAGTTTATCTATATTACACTTGCGCACTAACAAAAGCTTAGAGTTTTTCCAACTCAATTCCTGTTATACCAATAAAAAGTCTTAACGCAAATCCAGTGCGCACTTAGAATAACACGGTATGAACACAATGGTAATTTTCTTCTTAAAACTGTTTTGTAAGGGAAAAGTTTCCATCAAAACATGAAACTAGGTATATCTACATTTTGGGCATTTTGTGTTGGCTAATCCTAAGTATTTTGTTGCCTATTGTTAATAGTAAGTTCTATCCTTTCTGCCGAACAAAATGCCGTCATGTTTGTTGAGTTTTTAATCTATATAGATCTAGATTCTAGACCTAGATCTATATATTCTAGATCTAGATTCTAGACCTTGATCTATATAGATCTAGATTCTAGACCTAGATCTAGATTCTAGACCTAGATCTATATCATTCTCTTCTACCATCGTAGAGCTGGGTCGATAAGTGACGACTATTATGGGCAGATAATTTAGTTTTTAAACGATTTGAAACTATGGGGAGGTAAAAACAAGTTCCGCTTGATCTTCATTGTCTTCTGTTAACACGGACGCTGCTCTCACGAAAGGGGGGGGGGGGAGGAAGGAGGGGGGGGGGGGGGAAGGATATCGGCCTTTCGCTTTCCAGGCATGCGAAACTGTGTATCCGCAGCAGTATGTCCTCAGTTGCTTTAGTATCTCCTCCAGTCGTCTGAGCCGCATTTGTTCCCGGAGTTTTGTTTTGAGTTTTCCCCTTTGTTTCCTAACAATGGCCACCGCTTCAAATATATTTCGTGGAGTCAACAGGTCTGTCAATGTAGTCGAAATTCCTTTATCAGGTAACTGTTTATTCCTATCAGTCTCGTTTTTCTGGAAAAATGTCATCAACAAAACTGTTACTCTCGAACTTCGCAAGATGGCTGTAAGCTTTGTTTGCGAACATTGGGTTAACTATGGCGACGCACGTTTTTCTTACTCAGTGAAGCACTGATGTTCCCCAACATTACACATTCCAACAATACTCTGGACAAAGGCAAAAGAGAATTAGAGGAGGTGCAAAAGTGATCGGCAGAATGCCTGTTGTTGCCATTAACGACACCGAACGTTATTACCTCAGGCTTCTCCTTACCCGTTCCGTAAGCATCACGAGTTTCAAGCATCTACGAACTGTCAACGGCGTGGAATGTAACACTTTCAAAGAGGCGTGCCAACTAATGGGTCATCTTAAAGACGAGAAGATATGGCATGATACACTTATAGAGGCATCTGAGATACGAATGCCAGCGTTTTTGCGACAACTTTTCGTTTTCATCTGTCTTCGGCGAACCACAAAACGTTCCACACCTTTGGGACACGCATAAATTCTCCCTTTCTGAGGACTTTCTCAGAACATATTCCACACGCACCGCTTGCATGCATGCTCTAGCAGAAATAAATGACATCCTTCAACCACATGGCCTCAACCTCCACAAATTACACCTACCCCCCACTGACATTCTTCCGATGTGTCATTCATCTTCCGTCTTTGATGCTTAGGCTGAACACTGCCACGCTATGGAGCACTACAACAAACTCAACACAGAACAAAAGCACGCTGTTGACACTGTTTTGGACGCTGCATACACAGACTCCCGACCGCGACAAACCTGCTTCTTTTTAGATGGTCCGGCAGGAACAGGAACAGGGAAAACCTTTGTCTATAAAACTCTGATCCATACCATCAGAGCCAGGGGAGACTTTCCTATAACCGTTGTATCTACAGGAATAGCTGTAACATTGTTACCGGGTGGACGTACTGCACATTCGGTGTTTAAAATACCGTTAAAGCTCACTACTGCTTCCACATGCAATAGCTCGCAACACGCGCAACATATCCTGCAATCCAAATTAATTATATAGGACGAGGCGCCAATAACACATGCATACGCATTTCAGGCAGTCGACAGGTTGTTACGTGATCTCACAGGTGAGACGCACCCATTTGGAGGGAAAACAATTCTATTGGGTGGAGATTTCCGACAAATACTCCCCGTCATCTGCGTGGCTCCCGAGCACTCACTGTCGCGAGTTGTATTAACAAGCAACTTTTGTGGCGTCACATGCATGTACTTACACTGACGACAAATATGAGAGCTCTTCCTGACGAAAAACCATTGCCGGCGCCAGGTTATTTAACGCCCTAGGCAAAAATTCTTAACACTTCCCCCCCCCCCCCCACAATTATTTTAGGTCCCCATATTAAATATATATATATATATATATATATATATATATATATATATATATATATATATATATATATATATTATTTTTTTATTTTTTAAATTTTTAAATTTTTAAATTTTTATTCTTTATTTTTATTTTTTATTTATTTTTTTAATTTAATTTATTTATTTTTCTCTACGCAGCAGTGTGTGTTAATTACTGTAGAACAATTACAGCTACAATCGAGTTGTTTTCTTGTTTTTGTTTGTACAAAACCACACGTCTATCAAGGTGCAGAAAAATATAATTTTTTGTCGGATTTGGCTCCCCCCCCCCCTAAATACGACGTTTCTAAATATTTGCAGTCAGTAAGTTTATCCGCAGGTCTCGTTTGGTTGATATTGTATATATATTATACAGGAAGCCAACCAGAATATTATGTTGTTCAAATTGTTGGAACTTTTCTTTCAAAGTATGTATACCCATATCCAAGATGGTGTTATATAATTCTACCTTAAAATTCTGTTTAGGACCTAATGATGCCAACAATTTGCCTAGTTTGAAAATCTAAAAGTCTACCTGGGTTTCTAGTTCAAATAGAGAGAAAACGAGACTTACGGACAAGATTACAAAACAATGTTTTTGTCCGACCCAGAGAGGTGTAAAACGTCGAGATGTGCATAAATCTCGATTTTTTTTTGCACGATTACAAGACTTTCTCTATACTTCGTATATACGAGAAAGTAAAAAGAAGTAATACAATTACTAAAAGATAATCGCATTGATTAAAACCATTTTAAATACGATAATTATTGGGTCGTAGGTTATCTTGTATGAGAATTTTTTTTTGGTATATTTGGTCGATGATATAATTTATCCTAATGTATTTTATCCTGAGATATTTTGTCATTGAGTTTTTTGTCTAATGTATTGTGTTTGTGATCACTAGTCTTTTGATCATTTGTCATTTGTTTTATCCTAATACTAGGTAATTTTTTTTCTAGAATTGCTTAAGAAAATCGCAGTGTTCCTTTTTTGTAAACCTATTGCAAAGTGAGTAATTATTTTTTTTTCTTTCTGCTTATTTAAAACATTTTAATAAGTGAACGAAAAATGAAATTTTAATTATAAAGAAATTTTGAAACGTGTAAAATTAGGTAAAATTACTTACTATTAAATAACAATTAATTTTCAGAGTTGTTGTCATCTACAACAGAGTTTATGAATGGGCTTTTCCACCGATAGGGAACTATTACCCACCGTGGGCATACACTGGATAATTTGGAATAAAGTTTTTGTATGTATATTTAAAAAAATACTATTCTATTATTCTGAGTTGGTCAGATACACATTTCAGGTGAGTTGGTCAGAGACACACTACAGGTGAGTTGGTCAGAGATAGAGACACACTACAGGTGAGTTGGTCAGAGACACACTACAGGTGAGTTGGTCAGAGACAGAGACACACTACAGGTGAGTTGGTCAGAGACACACTACAGGTGAGTTGGTCAGAGACACACTACAGGTGAGTTGGTCAGAGACACACTACAGGTGAGTTGGTCAGAGACACACTACAGGTGAGTTGGTCAGAGACAGAGACACACTACAGGTGAGTTAGTCAGAGACACACTGCAGGTGAGTTCGTCAGAGACATAGACACACTACAGGTGAGTTGGTCAGAGACACACTACAGGTGAGTTGGTCAGAGACACACTACAGGTAAGTTGGTCAGAGACAGAGACACACTACAGGTGAGTTGGTCAGAGACACACTACAGGTGAGTTGGTCAGAGACACACTACAGGTGAGTTGGTCAGAGACACACTACAGGTGAGTTGGTCAGAGACACACTACAGGTGAGTTGGTCAGAGACACACTACAGGTGAGTTGGTCAGAGACAGAGACACACTACAGGTGAGTTGGTCAGAGACAAGGACACACTACATGTGAGTTGGTCAGAGACAGGGACACACTACAGGTGAGTTGGTCAGAGACACACTACAGGTGAGTTGGTCAGACACACACTACAGGTGAGTTGGTCAGAGACACACTACAGGTGAGTTGGTCAGAGACACACTACAGGTGAGTTGGTCAGACACACACTACAGGTGAGTTGGTCAGAGACACACTACAGGTAAGTTGGTCAGAGGCACACTACAGGTGAGTTGGTCAGAGACACACTACAGGTGAGTTGGTCAGAGACACACTGCAGGTGAGTTGGTCAGAGACAGAGACACACTACAGGTGAGTTGGTCAGAGACACACTAAAGGTGAGTTGTTCAGAGACACACTACAGGTGAGTTGGTCATAGACAGTGACATACTACAGGTGAGTTGGTCAGAGACACACTACAGGTGAGTTGGTCAGAGACACACTACAGGTTGGTTGGTTAGAGACACACTACAGGTGAGTTGGTCAGAGACACACTACAGGTGAGTTGTTCAGAGACACACTACAGGTGAGTTGGTCAGAGACACACTGCAGGTGAGTTGGTCAGAGACAGAGACACACTACAGGTGAGTTGGTCAGAGACACACTAAATGTGAGTTGTTCAGAGACACACTACAGGTGAGTTGGTCATAGACAGTGACATACTACAGGTGAGTTGGTCAGAGACAGTGACATACTCCGGTTAAAGTATCTAACCAATTTGGTCTAAACTCCGGTTAAAGTGTCTGACCAGTTTGGTCTAAATTTAGTTTAAAGTGTCTGACCAATTTGGTCTAAACTCCGGTTAAAGTGTCTCACCAATTTGGTCTAAACTCCGGTTAAAGTGTCTGACCAATTTGGTCTAAACTCCGGTTAAAGTGTCTCACCAATTTGGTCTAAACTCCGGTTAAAGTGTCTCACCAATTTGGTCTAAACTCCGGTTAAAGTGTCTCACCAAATTGGTAAAAAATCCCGGTTAAAGTGTCTTACCAATTTGGTCTAAACTCCGGTTAAAGTGTCTCACCAATTTGGTCTAAACTCCGGTTAAAGTGTGTCACCAATTTGGTCTAAACTCCGGTTAAAGTGTCTGATCAATTTGGTCTAAACTCCGGTTAAAGTGTCTCACCAATTTGGTCTAAACTCCGGTTAAAGTGTCTCACCAATTTGGTCTAAACTCCGGTTAAAGTGTCTCACCAATTTGGTCTAAACTCCGGTTAAAGTGTCTCACCAAATTGGTAAAAAATCCCGGTTAAAGTGTCCAACCAATTTCGTCTAAACTCCGGTTAAAGTGTCTCACCAATTTGGTCTAAACTCCCCGTTAAATTATCTGACCAATTGGATGATTTCAGATGCCAAAGCAAGCGCCAGCCATTGGGATCGACCTGGGGACGACCTACTCGTGTGTGGGGGTGTTCCAGCACGGCAAGGTGGAGATCATCGCCAACGACCAGGGCAACAGGACCACGCCCAGCTACGTGGCCTTCACCGACACGGAGCGTCTGGTGGGGGACGCCGCCAAGAACCAGGTGGCCATGAACCCCACCAACACCATCTACGACGCCAAACGTCTCATCGGCCGCAAGTTCACGGATAAAACGGTGCAGGGTGACATGAAACTTTGGCCTTTCAAGGTCGTGGAGTCTGAAGGTCGGCCGAAGATTGAAGCGGAATACAAAGGCGAGAGGAAGCTCTTCGCTCCGGAGGAGATCAGCTCGATGGTGCTGACCAAGATGAGGGAGACGGCCGAGGCGTTCCTGGGGCAGCGAGTGTCGGATGCCGTCATTACGGTGCCGGCCTATTTCAACGACTCACAGAGGCAGGCGACCAAGGACGCTGGCGCCATTGCCGGTCTGAACGTGCTGAGGATCATCAACGAACCAACCGCCGCAGCGCTGGCGTATGGGCTCGACAAGGGCATGAAAGGGGAGAGAAATGTCTTAATTTTCGACCTGGGTGGCGGTACTTTTGATGTCAGCATTTTAACCATCGATGAGGGCTCGTTGTTTGAGGTGAAAGCGACATCTGGCGACACCCACCTGGGAGGGGAGGACTTTGACAACCGTCTGGTCAGCCATTTTGTGCAGGAGTTTAAGAGGAAGCACAACAAGGACATGAGCGGCAGCGCCAGAGCCATCCGCCGTCTGCGGACATCCTGCGAGCGCGCCAAAAGAACTCTGTCCAGCAGCACTGAAGCCTCCATCGAAGTCGATTCTCTCTTTGAAGGAATCGACTTCTACACAAAAATATCGCGAGCCAGATTCGAAGAGCTGTGTATCGATCTATTCCGATCAACGATCCAGCCGGTAGAGACGGCCCTAAAAGACGCCAAGCTGGACAAAAGCAAGATCCACGAGGTGGTGCTGGTGGGGGGCTCTACCAGGATCCCCAAGGTGCAGAAACTTCTCTCGGATTTCTTCAACGACAAGGAGCTCAACAAGTCCATCAACCCGGACGAGGCCGTGGCCTACGGGGCGGCCGTGCAGGCGGCCGTGCTGACTGGCGACCAGAGCCAGGCCATCAGGGACGTTCTCCTGGTGGACGTGGCGCCCCTCTCCCTGGGGATCGAGACCCACGGCTCAGTCATGTCCGTGCTGGTCAAGCGAGGCACAACGATCCCCACCAAAACGTCTCAGCTCTTCTCGACCTACGCAGACAACCAACCCGGCGTTGATATCCTGGTCTTCGAGGGCGAGCGCTCAATGACCAAAGACAACAACCTTTTGGGGACGTTTCAACTGATGGGGATTCCCCCCGCGCCCCGGGGGGTGCCTCAGATCGAGGTGACGTTTGATATCGACGCCGATGGCATCCTGAACGTGACAGCCCTGGACAAGACCACGGGCAAGTCTAACAACATCAAGATCAAGAACGAGAGGGGGAGGCTGACGCAGGCGCAGATCGACAAAATGGTGGCCGATGCTGAACGCTACAAGGCCGAGGACGAGAAACAGCGCGAGCGGGTCGAGGCCAAAAACCGCTTTGAGAATTATATTTTTAGTGTCAAGCAAGCTGTGGAAACGGTGGGGGAGAAACTGTCAAAATAGGATCGCAACACGGCCTTGACCGCACACCATATTTTAGCCATCCACACACCACATTTAACCGTCCATACACCACATTAGCCTACGATAGTTGAGCGATACTTAGGCCTACAGCTACAATAAATAAAAAGTTCATGCACATTAATGACCATCAAATCTAGAATGAGCACGTAGAATATTTGGCTCAACTTGATTCATCTACTGAACGCTAAAAAGAAAGCAAGTTCTCTTTTTTTTTGCTAATTTAAAAAAAAATGTCACTGTGATTAAAAACTATAAAATATTTGATGCAGCTTTTCTTTGTGTCGACTTGTGTTCAATAATTTTACGTTTCTACTTCCAAACCAAAACAAATAACCCTCTCACAGTCCATCTCCTCACACAGTCCCTCACACAGTCCCTTACACAGTCCCTCTCACAGTCCATCTCCCCACACAGTCCCTCACACAGTCCCTCTCACAGTCCATCACACAGTCCCTCACACAGTCCCTCACACAGTCCCTCACACAGTCCCTCACACAGTCCCTCACACAGTCCCTCACACAGTCCCTCACACAGTCCCTCACACAGTCCCTCACACAGTCCCTCACACAGTCCATCACACAGTCCCTCACACAGTCCCTCACACAGTCCCTCACACAGTCCATCACACAGTCCCTCACACAGTCCCTCACACAGTCCCTCACACAATCCCTCACACAGTCCATCACACAGTCCCTCACACAGTCCCTCACACAGTCCATCACACAGTCCCTCACACAGTCCCTCACACAGTCCCTCACACATTCCATCACACAGTCCATCACACAGTCCCTCACACAGTCCCTCTCACAGTCCATCTCCCCTCACAGTCCCTCACACAGTCCCTCACACAGTCCATCACAAAGTCCCTCTGCCCTCACAGTCTCTCACACAGTCCCTCTCACAGTCCATCTCCCCTCACAGTCCCTCACACAGTCCCTCACACAGTCCCTCACACAGTCCCTCACACAGTCCCTCACACAGTCCCTCACACAGTCCATCACACAGTCCCTCACACAGTCCCTCACACAGTCCCTCACACAGTCCATCACACAGTCCCTCACACAGTCCCTCACACAGTCCCTCACACAGTCCCTCACACAGTCCCTCACACAGTCCCTCACACAGTCCCTCACACAGTCCCTCACACAGTCCCTCACACAGTCCATCACACAGTCCCTCACACAGTCCCTCACACAGTCCATCACACAGTCTCTCTCACAGTCCATCTCCCCTCACAGTCCCTCACACAGTCCCTCACACAGTCCCTCACACAGTCCCTCACACAGTCCCTCACACAGTCCCTCACACAGTCCATCACACAGTCCCTCACACAGTCCCTCACACAGTCCATCACACAGTCCCTCACACAGTCCCTCACACAGTCCATCACACAGTCTCTCACACAGTCCATCACACAGTCCCTCACACAGTCCATCACACAGTCCCTCACACAGTCCCTCACACAGTCCATCACACAGTCCCTCACACGGTCCCTCACACAGTCCCTCACACAGTCCCTCACACAGTCCCTCACACAGTCCATCACACAGTCCCTCACACAGTCCATCACACAGTCCATCACACAGTCCCTCACACAGTCCCTCACACAGTCCCTCTCACAGTCCATCACACAGTCCCTCACACAGTCCCTCACACAGTCCATCACACAGTCCCTCACACAGTCCATCACACAGTCCCTCACACAGTCCATCACACAGTCCCTCACACAGTCCCTCACACAGTCCATCACACAGTCCCTCACACAGTCCATCACACAGTCCCTCACACAGTCCATCACACAGTCCCTCACACAGTCCCTCACACAGTCCCTCACACAGTCCATCACACAGTCCCTCACACAGTCCATTGAGTGAGTTTTAGTTGTGTGAACTGAGAGAAATTGTGTTGTGTGCGACGAGTAATCTTAAACCTACTTAACCGTGTTGTCATACCACTGTATTTATATTTATCGTCCCTTAAAGGGGATTCAAATTTTTTTGAAGTGAATAAATTTTAAAGTAGTGTTACCTATAAAACCCAAAACTAAATATTTTAGAAATATTATTACTTAATCATAATGTCTTTATTTTTTAAAAACAATACAAATAAAAACCAATTGTTATATTTTTACCATATGTAAAGTAAATTTTATGTTTACCACTATATTTCAATAAGTAATTTATTATCAGTATATGTGCACATTAAGTCTAATTCCCTAGTTAAACAATGTGTGATTATATTTAATATACTTTTTATAACTTCCCTTTAATTTATTTTTAATACTGATGGGTGTTTGTTTTTACTTATATTACTATCTTTGTATATTATGCAAATAATTATGTTGGCTTATGATGTATACTTGTAGTTGATATAAATTGATATACGTTGATATAATAATATATTGTTTCGTCATTTAGGAGTCTGGATTGGATTGATGCTTGTGGAGGGTGGGGGGGGGGATGACTAAATAGGTTCGTCATGGGGGTGGTGTTCTGTTAGGTGTAGGTCAAGGCCGATTGTTTAAGGGCAAGTTTTAGGCCAATGGTTGCATTTGTATACGTTAATGATGTAATGTCTTCAATAGTTTCTATACTGCCTTTTATGTTGCCGTGTTTCACATTTTCAGATCATACTTGCGAGATGTGAATGTTTGTCGTCTTTTTGATGGCGTATTACTTGTTACATATACATTGAGTATTCTCGATTGTATTGAGATTGGTGGAGGTGGTGGGGATGAGTATGTCCGCTCTTGTCTCGCTTTGTGTAGTTCCTGGTTTGTCACTTTCTGGTATGAACTGCTTTCAAATAATTTTAAGCTTATCGCCGGATTGACGAACACATAATAACAAAATATAAAATATAAAATACAACAGTGAATGTCACGTTGAGCAGATTTTAAAGTAAGCGATCCACTTTGTACTAAATACATTTACCTAATTGTTCTGTGCATGTGTGTTTATTTTGGCCAATATTTTAATTTTCATTTAAGACATAACTCAAACTTGAAAATAAATTAAAATGTCAATTATTTTTTCTTTTATATTTTCTGATTGAGTTTAACATTAAAAAAAAAGTATATATTTACTCAGTTTGTTCATTTTTTGCAGCTGCATTAATGAATTACCTCCCTTATAGCGATTTAAATGGAGGCGAATATATAGCCAAAGGTCTCTATGTCATGAAATCAAATATTCCGTTAAGTTTAATTTAAATAATTGTACTTGTGTCAACCATACAAACCTATTGCACATATTATATTTGTATCCAGCCAAAACTTAGTTCTAAAATATGACCTTACGTTCATAACATGGGGAGGTACTACATCTAGATCTGATTAATGTCCTTAACATAGATAGGTCTTACATTTAAATCATGCGCTACGTTTGTATTAATATTGTGTTAGTATTTTATCTTTTAAATTATCTACAGCAACATTAAAACACAATCATATTTGGCATGCCAAAATGTAATAAATATATATTACATAATTAAAACAAGACTAGGCAGATTGATAGGACAATGCATCTAACCATGTTATTGCATATAAAAAATACGGCTACTATTCTTATATAACACTATTAGGGATGGTAAGGGGTTATCCATAAATGACGCCACGTTTTTTTGACGATTTTTTACCCCCAACCCCTCCGTCACACATCGTCACAAAAAGCCAGACCCCCCCCCCTAAAATGACGTCACACCTCAGTCTACAAACCCCCTCAAAATTACAGTTGAATTTTTCTTAAAACATCGATATTGTTCCAAAATCTTGTCTAAACTCTGTCTACTATGTTTAAATGTTCGATCCCCATTCAGTGACATAAAACAAAACTGCATCCGTTCTACAACACCCCTCCCCTCCCATATCACAGAACAAACTACGACACGAGCCCAACGAACACAGTACACCAGGTTAGGAGATGACTGAGACTATACTGTAGGGAAGGACAAATGAAGGATGTAGCACATACTTAATCATATCAATAGTTTTTGTTTCTTATTAGAAAAAAAATTACAGAACAACTGTATTTAATATACATACAGAAAAATTACGCATAAGCGTTTGTTATAAGTTAGATCACTTACATATACTAATATTCCTGTGCCAATTATTATGTTTTGATTTCGGATTCCCATTTGGGAACAAACCTAAATTGATACAAATGCATTGATGTCACTACAGTCGAGCACCTCGACAAAAGTTATATTTAGGATACGAGCTGTGGTTCGAGTGATGCTCCAATGTCCAGCACAGTATGACGTGTTATGAGCAGTGGCGTAGTGAGGTCGGGTGTTACCCGATGCGGCAATTGATAGTGTCGACCCCCCCCCCCCCGTAAGAAAAAAAAAAAAAAAAAAAAAAAAAAAAATATATATATATATATATATATATATATGTATATATATATATATATATATATATATATATATATATATATATATATATATATATATATATATATATATATATATATATATATATATATATATATATATATATATATATATATATTCTATAGTCAACTATACTGTTTTTGGTTGTTTTTTTTTTTGGGGGGGGGGGGGGGGGTGGGTGGATGTGGATCACAGCGGGAGGTGCTGAAATCCGACCTAGCGACGCTAATGCTATGTCGTTATTCTTGAAACTAAGCAAAGAGATGCATTCCATTTTTAACATCGGCTAGAATTACCAGATGTTTATAGTGACACAATTTGTAAATTTTGGAAGTTTTTGAAGCCAGATCAAACTGGGGTTAACTTTTTTTGATGTCCAAATTTTGTATTATCAAAAGGCAAATACATATTTATTAAAGCAAAGTGGCGAGGCTAAAATAAGTCAGTGACACGATTAAAGCTATTCAAACCTAAATTTGTGTGTCTGTGTTTGTGAGCACAGCAATTAGAGAAGAACTCTAACTGCAACAACTAAAGATACGGCCTGTTGAATTGGAAATCTAACAACAACAACTAATGACAAAGCAGAAGTTAGGGATTATACCTACTATACATTTGTTATCAACAGGAAACAGTCCTATTTTATTTGGTTTTTTTAAAAACACTGTTTTAAATTATTTATGGGACTGATATTCAACTTTATACAACGAATCGTAACACTAAGTGATGAGCTTAGTATTCTAGGTATTAAAGTATCGATTGTTTGATACATCTCATCTATATAGTGGTATACCGAATATTTTGTTTTAATGTTGCTGTAAAATGTTTAAGATAAATTACAATCAAAATGCTGATACAAATTTAGCGCA